GAGCCTGAAGGCAGCCAGCAATCCAAGAGAGGATAAGCACCAGAACTTTACCACCCTGGGGAGCACCTGTCCTCCCACCAGAAGAAACTATCTGTGAGATCACTGTTGGAATTGCCCTCCCTCTATTTCAGCACTGCTACTCACTTCAGGAATAAATGCACATATATTATTTTACAAAAACCATGTCCATTACTTAAAAATTCCAACAGCAGCCCACCTTACAGTAAAATGTCAAGCCCCTGCCTGCCGGATGTGGTGATGCACCCCTATAATCCCAGCACTCAGTAGGCTGAGGCAGGAAAATCACCATGAGTTCAAGGTCAGCCTGCACTACATAGTGAGAAGCTGCCTCAAAGAAATCGTCAACCCTCCCCAACAAGGGTTATAGTGGGACCTTCATTAGCATGCTACTCTAGAGGTCTGGCTCCCAGGCACGTAGAGGTAGGGCACAGATAAGAGGCAGGGGAAGGGAGTAGGATGTAGATCCTTTCTGCCTGCTTTGTCTCACTCTCCCTGAGCTGTGTCTTCAAGCAATGTCCCCTCCTGTTCACCTTAAGCACCTAATCCCTTTCAGTTGCAGGGAAACTTTCAACCCAGCCATGAGAGGCCTGGGGACTGGATTCCCTGATGGCAAAGCAAATACTCCCCAGGGACCTTTAAGAGGGCTCCCAAACCAGCAAGCAGGGAGGAAAGAGATCAAGGCAGAAAGTGGGTGGCACAAGGCAGAGAAACCTGAACTTTCTGAGCCTCCAGGTACCAGGTAAAGATGAAGAGATGTACTAGAAGAGAAAGCAGAGTGTGTGTGGTACAGAAAAGAAGCCCCTGTGGGGATAGCAAAAAAATGGGAGTTTAGAAAGACAACGATGGCAGTAGTTGCAAGCTTATCCCACACTGGTGGCATATTGGAAAGATGCCGATCTCAGCCAGAGGGAAGTAGTGAGAAGGAGCTGGGCTGAGTTGGGTCCAAGTTCAGACCTGGAGAACTCGCCTGATACTGTCTGATGCTGTCAGAGCATCTTGAAGGATACAAATGAAGAAAAAAGGGCCAGACACAAGTTCTGAGTGCCTGACACAAATGCTGAAGGCTCCGGCTAGAGCTGGCAATGGAGAATCAGCAGGCTCCACAGAGAGGTCCTAGAAAACTCTAAAGACCCAGAGTAGGCTGCGCCTTTACTCGCCTACACAAATACCTTTCTTACCCTAGTATAGGCCAGGTCCTCTCCAGGTGATAGGAAGAGGATACTCTTTATTCATGGGCAGCTTGTACTCGGTTATCGGCATCACTGAGGCTGAAGGAGTCCTCCAACACCTGATCGGCCAGGAGGGGAGGAGAAGACAAATGGATAAGCTGGACTGCCCTTGAAATGACCACACCTTAAAAAGGCAGCAGAGAATCAGAAGGCGGTGGATGGCACTGAACAAGACAAGATCAGAGAGGACAGCCGCCATCCTCCATTTGTCTTCTTTCTTCCTTGCCACTCTCCCCCTTGTTCCCACTGAGCCTGGAAGACTTGCCCTATTCTGGGTGGGGAACACCTGGTGACTCTAGAGCCACCAGTCTCTGGCCCAGGACCCAAAGCTGGCTGGGCCTCTGAAAGGTAAGGTCCATCAGCTCCTCTAGACCAGCCCAGCTGGCCAGAAACTGATACCAGGCATCACATCGGCACATGGGCCTTAGGCGGTATCAGTCTTGTGGTATCCAGAAAAGGTCAGCCAGCTCATGGATTTTATCTATACTGGAGCCACAGCAGGGCTAGTTACTGAGTTTAGGCCATTGCCCACTGCCCTGCCCTTTTGGGATCTGCCTCCTACCCTCACACCCCATGTTCAGGTTTCTCAAGTTCCAAAATGGAAGAAAAGGTAAAAAGGCAAAGGAAATTCTCTCTAAGTCCCTAGGATGTTGACCAGGTTGAAATGTCAGGGAGGCCCAGATGCGGACTGAAGGTGAAGGTGAGGGCTTCATGAAAGCTCCATGGAAGCATGTGCCGCTGGTCCCCTGGTTCAATGGGCCAGATGAGGAATCTATCCCAGCGAATTCATGCCACAAAGACTCACTGGTCTCCAGTTCTGTGTCCCTCTTTAGTCAGGCAGGAAGTTCGCCCCTAGAGAGTGGCCCAGGGTGTGCTCTCCAAACCCTTACTGCCTCCATTTCTGTACACCTCGCCAAAGAGCGGTAGCTGCACACAGGTAAGCTGAGCCTTCCTTATCCTGCACCAGCAAAAGGCAGCACGGCAGGATATGATTCTCCAAAATGAGAAGATACATGGGTCAGAGCCACTCAGTCGCCCCACACAACCAGCCTCCTGGGCAGGGATCTAGACCAAAGGGGAGGGCTCCCAGAAAGCACAGGTGGAGGAGGGAACAAAGGATCTGCTGTGACTTCCAGCTCTGCCAAGAAGAGGTCTCCGCTGGACCAGGGCCTGAGCTTGGCGAGGAGACCCAGTCCTCAACTCCGCCTCTACATGCATGCTGGTCGCCTGCCTGGTGGGCAGAAGCCCTGACTGCTTCACAAGATCCCAGCGTGCAGAAGCAGAGTCAGAATCCCTATTCCAAGAACCTGAGAAAGAAGAATAAAGGGCACAAGAGAAAGCAGACAGGGAACTCCCCAGAGTCAACACGGACTGGCCCTGCAGGACTTTCCATACAAGGAGGCCACCAGCCTCTCCCAGGAAAGTGACCCTGCCTGCTTCCCAACTAATACCCCTGGAAGCACAGCCAGGGAAGAGGACATCAGGACACAGACCTGAGTTACTGGCACAGAAAGATCCCATCAGTGAGATGAAAATTTAGAATGGTGAAAATAGGACCAGGCAGGGTCCAGCAGGTGCTGTTCCATTTGCACGGGAACCTAGGCCCCAAGAGTGGCAGGTGAAACTGAGAGGACTGAGGGTGGGGATGTCAAGCGGAGTGCTTGCTTTCTGCTTGCATTTTCTATACTAGACTTATCGCACTTGAATAAGATATTAAACGTGGGAGAATCAGAGAGGAGCAAGTTGAACTGCACGGCACAGGTGGCCAGTGGGCCAGGTAAGCAACATCCTGGGGGAGGGGGTGGACACTGAGGCATCTGACTGCTTTCCAGGGGTCAGGGCTGGAGTATAAGTCTCTGCACGCCAGCTGTGCGGCCCTCTTCAGCCAAGCTCCGTCCCTGCTGGGTCTACTTTTTCCAGGGCCGGCCTCTAATTCGATAAACTTCCTTTTTTGCCTGTCCCTTTACACACAATCCAGCAGTCTGGGTGCCAAGGGCGTGAACTTGAGCACCTACTTATTCTCTATTACTGTCCCTCTGCACACCCTGCCATATAACACCTCTTCAGCCACCCACCTAAATCCGTCTTGGTGCTGCACTTCCTCCTCCCGCCTTTCTGCCCGCCTTTCAGTTAGCCTGGACCAGCAGGCACTTTCCCCAGCCCTCTTTTCTTAGGTCCCAAACGGAGGCGTCCTCTGCCCAGCTCCCTTTTTGTCCAGCTACATTTGGGACTGGACATGTGCACACACCCAGTTAGTTACATCCACACCGGACACATACTAAGGTGAGCGTACACACACACAGACGCACACACGTATCCACACACCCCTCATAGGAATCATCGAGGCTGCACCAGAGACACCCTCACTGTGACACAAACGCATGTATATATCCACAGCCTGACTTTCACAGACACCTTTAACCGGATCCCTGGACAGAGGGAAGTGCCCTCGCCAGCACCTAGCAGTTGGCTCACCTGGTTCAAAGCCCCACAGGGCAAACAAAGGAAGGGACATCTGCAGTTAGAGCACTTTAGGGGAGGAGTCACCCTGCCTCTGGCGCGCTCAGGCTTTTTGCGCGCACAATTTGGCTCGGGAATCTTTCTTCCAACCCCTTTTCCAAATCAAAAAAGAGAAACCAGGGCCTGGTCTCTGTCTAGAGAGAAACTAGACTCTCCAGCAAGCGCCGCCGATGCATACGCCTCAGAGAACCTAGCCTAGTGCCTAGCGACCTTCACCGCTCAGTTTAACACAGCTCGAGCCTGCCCTGCTTGCAGCCGCGCTTACCTAGGCGTGTCGCCTCTCCGCTGTCCAGTTGGGGCGGGTCGCCGAGGTCCAACAGAGGAGGAGGGAGCTCCTCGAGAGAAACCCCAAATAAACGCCAGAGCTCTACCCCCGTCTCTAGGTACAGCCCCCTGAGTAATGACCTCGGAGTTGTAGTGGAGTCGGGTGTTTTCTGCCTGCCAAAGTCTCCTCCTCACTGGACTCTGCTCGGCTGTCTGCCTACCGCTGTCCTCACCCCCAGCCTCACTCTTCGGGCTCTTTTATCCGGTTCTCGGCCTGGCCCTCCCAAGAGGGCCGGGAGGGGCTTGTGTTCTGTGCTCAGGAGTGAGGCTGTGGGTAAGCATCTGAGCAGTGGAGCCCCCACCCCAGCTCTGCGCCCTCTCCACCCGACCCCTCGCCCAGCGCTCTAGCAAGGCCAACCTCCTGTTCTCTGCTGAGTCTTGCCTGGTCGCCTTCCTCGCGCACTTTGATTATTGATCCAGCTGAACCGGACTGGAGAGCTGAGGCTGCGCTTTCCAGGGGTCGGGGGAAGGAGGGAGGAGAGTAGGCTGGGGGTATGGTGTTGGGGAAAGGAGGGTGATAAACTTTAGGAGAAGGTGCGGGGCGTTCCTCCATACTCCGCGGTCGCCCCAGCCTCCCTCTGCGGGGCTTGGAGCCGGGCTGGACCCCGGGTGGAGGAAGGGGCCACCGCCCCCTCTGCTTCCTCCCCCCTCCCTCTTCCCCTCCTCCCCCAGACGCAGAGCCTGAGCGAGTGGCCTGGACTCTGAGAACCCTGACTCCCGCCCAATCAGCAGAGAGGGGAGGAGCAGCCGGGCGGGGGCGGGGCCCGAGGAAGCGCAGTCGGGAGGCGGCGCGAGGGGCGGGGAGC